AGCACACCGAATAAAACTTTACCTGGACTTAACCACATTGGCTTATATTCATTCCCTGCGACTTGCTGACTTGCTACCTCCGATTTCCCAAGTACCCCACCCACCATAACTTCAGACAGTTGAGGCCATCTCTTATTGGCCCGTGCTGCCAAACAGCCCTTTCTTGCCCATGCAAATGGGTTCATCACAATGCCCATCATCCACACACAATAGGAGAAGGGCATGCCAACCCAGATAGGGAGCATTTGGTGGGGTACACACTGCTGTAAGGATTGGGTAGTAGCTGAGCCTTGCCTGCCTGGAACCCAGTAGTGAAAGCAGGCAGATACAGATGAAATTGCCTTTCACAAATTCAATCGTTTTCCCACCCTTGTATCTGGGCTTCGCTTCCTGGCATTTTGTCCCCTTAACAAGATTGCGTGAGTCAGTGTTATAATCCTGTAGATGTTGCTAAAGGCTGCAGCCCTTCGCTAAAAGGGAGAAAAGGGCATTTGCTTTGGGTTTCTGCAGGGAAGGGACCATCCAGAGTATGACTCAAGAGATCCGTCCTTCCCTTGAGAAGGAGTAAAACTCACCAGCTAAAAGAAAATTTAGAATTATTTTGGTGCTTTGGGTTTCATCATACAATTCAACTTACAGTGCTATTGACATGGGAGGGGAGAAATCAAATTGCATTTTCTTTGCAGGGAAAAGTGAAGTGTGGGAGAAGGCATGCTTCAAAATCAAAAGGCCCCAGGAAGCTGAGTGAATCTTCCTTCTGTGCAGGCATACAAAAAAGTCTCGCATTATTAACCCCAATATAGTTATGGAAATTAAAGCAGCCCTACTGTTTGGAGAATGGGCAACAACAGCAGCCCAAACAGACTCAATTAACTTTTTGCACACACTGCTGAACCGGTTCGCCTTTAGATTCCTTTCTTTTCTCCTTCCCATAACCTGTTATTCCTTCCTTTCTTCTTTCTCGCCTTCCTGCTCTCTTCCATGCCTCAGATTTGGTTTTTTTTTTCCCCTCTTTTTCTCCCGCTTTCCTTCCCTGATCTCTAGATGCATCCTCATTCATTTATTCTCGCTTCCTCACCTCTGAGTCCATTGAAAGCGGAAGCCTACTTTTGTAAGTCAAAAGTGCCAGATGGCTGGAGAGAAGACAACACAAGCAGAACGGGGTGGAAACAAACAAGTTGCTACTCTCCTTTTTTTACCCTTAGCGCCTTCGAAATTAGATGAATACATTTGCACACTATACTGGTTGCATTCACACTCCATGCTAAGCCATAACATGCTTTGTTGCAATTTGCTTTTTTCTGCTTTAAGCAGGGTTAAGTAATGGTTTAACATAATTCATGGGATTAGCCCTTGTTTTTCGTTTTATGATAAACTGCATCCAAGTAAAGGTAACTGGGTCTAATGCAACTTTGAGGCTGCTTGAAGCTAGAGGCGATGCTGTTTTCTCTGAGGAAACCCAATGGGAGGAAAAGCTATTTACTGTCAGGAAGAAACACATAGAACTGGAGACTTAATTTGGGGCAGAAAACCATATAGATATAATGAGGCTTTGTTTCCAATAGATACATTGTGTTTTTTGCATTTTATTTTTACATGTCCTTTTTTTTGGTTTAATTTGTTGTCATTTTTTTCATGTATTATTACAAGCCACCCAATGTATTCTTATACCGCAGGACAAAGATAAATACAAAAACCAGTCTTATTGTTGAAAGACAAAAACTTCCAACAGACAATGGAGGAGAGCCAAATTCACTCCTGAAGATTATAAAAAATGATTATCATCAAATTGGGGCTGACTGCCCGCTTAATTTGTGTTGAAATCAAGGCAGCATAAATGACCTCAGTGCCAAACTTTTTCTGGGCTGGTTTGAGATGAGATGAAAGGCGTTGAACAAGAAACAAGACAAACCTAAAAGTTTCTTGCTCCATGGTGAACCTCCTTCACTGCAAAGGGACTTACTCAGAGTAAATACTGCTTCTTCTAACAAAAAGTGTAGCTGTTTTCCACTTGGTGGCTTAGAAAACAAAACACATATGAATCCTTCATTTCCCATTCTGGACCAGGCTGCTCTGTTCAAATTAACATCTGATTCACAATGCACCCTTTTTTTTTAAATAACCCCCTCCCCTCCTCAAACACACTGCACTAAATGGTGGGGCATATTAGTGGGAAAGGCAGCCATTTATTCCAAGCCTTTCCCACATATTTACAGTGACAAATGAGGGTCTCTGGATAACTTTTGAAATAAAGTGACAATTTGTAAAAGGGAGGTTTTCCCTCCACCACCACCACCACCTCCATCCATTTGAATACTCAGAAATAAATGGCAAGATTCATTGGTTTCATCAGATGTCTAAAGAATTTTCTGTTGTTGGGAAAGGGAAGGGAAGGAAAGGAAAGGAAAGATTTGCTATTCTTATAACATTCCCAGTTGCTCCATCGGACAAGGTTTTATTTTATGCTGAAATCAAACAATTCAAGGAACTGAGCAACCTTTATGCTTCATTTAATTCTTCTCACCCAGAGAAAGGTTCATCTTGTTCAAACAGTTACAAAGCTCTCCCAAATTCCCACGTGCAAAATGAAAACATCCACAAGCAAAAGTACCTAATCCAAACAACCCCAGTTGCACTTTTACACTGAGTACAATCCTAGATTGTACTGAAAGATTGACTCTCTGAACACTATCTGAAAAATGAGTATATGATCGGAGGTATTTTTAAAAAAACACAGCAGCAACAGATGAACAACACAGAGAGCTGGACTTGTTAAGTTTGATTTTCCTTCAAATTTGCATCTATTTCTTAGAGCTACCTAGAAGATTTTTTAAAATGATTCCTTCCAAATAAATGAAAATGAGTTAATTTGCAGCTTTCCAGTGTAAATCTATATTGGTCTGCTCAGAAACGATTCCATTGTATTGAACACTTATATTCAGATAAGTATACAGGAGGGCAGCCATAACAGTATTTTTTTTAATACAGGCCTATAAAGGAATTATAAACGGGGTGGGGAAAAAGAATGATTAGTTAAATTTTGCTCTTGGCCGGAATCAATGTAAAATAAGCTTTAGTCCTGCAGATGCCCACCCAGAAATAAAATTTGTAATGAGTTTGATAAGATTTATTTCCACGTGTATATATAAAGTACATTTTCTCCCAAAATGTCCTGCTATGCAACGTGTGTGTGTGTGTGTGTGTGTGTGTGTGTGTGTGTGTGAGAGAGAGAGAGAGAGAGAGAGAGAGAGAGAGACACACACACACACACACACACACACACACACACACACACGCCCATAATTGTACGGAAAAGTTGGTTTTACTTCTGCTTTTGTGAAATCCCAACAGTATGGGTGGACAATTGAAATAATAAGAAAACTTGAAGTGCATTTTGAGGTGTGGGATATTTTTTTTTCCCCACTACACAATGAAAGCAAGAGAATTAAAGGTTTCCAAAGGCATCTTAAAATGATTCTGCTTATCATGACTATGACTTTAGCTTTAGGGAAGTACAGGTTTCTTGCTCAGCTATAACATAGGTGGATTTTAATTCACCAACCTTTAGGCTTTACTGAATTCAATCAATTTGTCTTCGGGGTGCGTTTCTTGGGAGCTCCAGAGGAGTGTAAGAATGAACAGGTTTACACCAAAAAGTAACAGATGTCTTGAGATTCTTAAGGTAATGAACTCAATGAGAAGAGTTAGGTCTTGAATGCACTAGCACATTGCCAAATGCACTACTCTAATGTACAAGTTGCAGAGTCGGCCTTGACTGCGCAAGTTCACAGGACAACCCCCGTCACAGCATTCATACAGAAGTGAGTCCCCTTCAAATTTGGGTTGGGAGCTGGATGGCAGCAATCAAGTCTCCCTGCCTACCTTCCATTCCCCACCATCCAGCCAGAACTGAAGAAGCTTCTTGGATGAGAAGCGAAAGATCTTCAAAGAAAAACAAGTAAGTCGCCTCCTGAAAAAGCACCTTTGGGACTAGAGAACGGAGACCACCCAAGCTACGGCTGAGTGTTTGGGATAGAGTGGGAATTTTTCATTCCAGACACTCCCAAGGATCAGTTAAAATACAGTCTCAAACGTTATTTTGGCTTCCCTGTCTTGTTCCAGTTCTGAGTCGACTTCAGTGGGGCCAGTAGAGAAAAACAAAGAAAGCAGAATACAGTCAGAATGCTGGGCAGAGGACTTAAAGGAACACCACACTGGAGCTTTTCAACTTTTTAAAAGGCCTAGATCTTAGGATTGCCCTAGTTGTGTGGGTGCACAGGATTTGAGGGCCACTCATTCACACCTGCACCTAATTAGTGCTGCAAAATGCAAACTAGCTCCTATTTACACACCCAGATACCTTTCCGGAACTTATTTTTAGCATCCTGATTTAAAAAAAAAAAAAAAGCTACCCTAATATCTTACCCTTTTTACTTGACAATTAGGCTGGCTTTACTGGCTAGTAAATGCCTCCAATCTTTCTGTAACTAGTCTTTTAGTCTTTTAATTAATAGACCAGCTCTTTTGAACCCACTTGCCCTAGTTCATCAACACAGACCCATAAAGCTATTTATCAGCCCTTCGTTCTTAACAACGATTGAACCCCGTTGATTAAAACCTGGGCAGAAGGAACGGTGTGCTTGTGGGGTGTTGGGACTCTTTAGAGGCGAAAATATTTATTCCCTTTCCCATTAATTTCGAGACCGCCAAGTTAGAAACAGGAAGAGCTGAACAGACCAGTTTTTGCCACGAACCTCGCTCTTTTTCCTAAGGCGTCTTGTACACGAAGGCCTGAGCTGGACTTTCAATTGATCACAACCCACCGGATCCGGGAAGAGCGTAGTTCCCATTCCGGTTTTTTTTTTTTTCCCCAGGACTAAACTCTAAAGGGGCGCCCATCGCCCCCGCCTGTGAACGACCTTAAGCTCCCTTCCCCGGGCGAACGAGGGTCGTCGCCTGGATCGGGACCGTCTCTCTTCCCTGCCCGCAGCCGCTCTCACCTTGACTTGGCTCTCCGTCATTCCCAGCGAATAGGCGAGCCTCGCTCTCTCCGGCCCAGCTAAGTACTTGGTTTGCTCAAAAGTCTTTTCCAAAGCAAAGATCTGCTGGCCGGAGAACGTGGGCCTCGTGTGCTTCCGTTTGCCGTCTTTATCCAGCAAAATGGAGCCTTGATCTAGAGTCGAAAAAGTGAAAAAGAAAAGGGGAAGAGGCCACGTAAGGGACACTCACTGTGTGTGTGTATAACCGTGCGTTCCGCCCAGCGCTACGTTTGCTCAACGGGAAAAGGGAAATTTCAGCACTCGGAAACTGAAGCAACCGGCGCCGTTTGCACAATTCGGCAGCGACGGGGTTTCGGCCTCCCTCCGTTGCAGGAACAAAGCCGGTTCGCTCTAGTCGCGACTTGGGGGGCAAAACAACAACAACAACAGAAGGTGTCCGGAAACACTTTTTCCCGAGTAACAAGTTCGTAAGAATTGTTAGTTGGAAAAAGTGCAACCAGAAACTTCCTGATTTTTATTATTATTATTGTTTTTTGACATTTAGAGTTTAAGAAGCTGGAGGTTTTTTTTTTTTTTAAAAAAAATTACCCAGCTAGATTAAGAAGATAAGGCAGCAAACGAAGGCAGAGAAGCAAGGAAGGCAGGAGAAAGGGAAGGGAAAGGGAAGGAAAGGGAAGGAAAGGAAAGGAAAGGAAAGGAAAGGGAAGGAAAGGAAAGGAAAGGAAAGGAAAGGAAAGGGAAGGGAAGGGAAGGGAAGGAAAGGAAAGGAAAGGAAAGGAAAGGAAAGGAAAGGAAAGGAAAGGAAAGGAAAGGAAAGGAAAGGAAAGGAAAGGGAAGGAAAGGAAAGGAAAGGAAAGGGAAGGAAAGGAAAGGAAAGGAAAGGGAAGGGAAGGGAAGGGAAGGGAAGGGAAGGGAAGGGAAGGAAAGGAAAGGAAAGGAAAGGGAAGGGAAGGGAAGGGAAGGGAAGGGAAGGGAAGGGAAGGGAAGGGAAGGAAAGGAAAGGAAAGGAATAATGGTCTAGTCTAGATAATGGTCTTTCTGCATTAAAGACCGGCATTTTCCCTTAGAGGGAAAATGTTATTAAACAGAGGACTAGACCCATTATTTCAAATACTAACAATGGGCACCTCAACTGAAACAGATGTCTAAATTTCAGTTAGTATTGAAAGTTATTTCACCTGAAGGGGGCAAAGAAGATATTCCAGTGTGTGTGTGGGGGGGTGTCTCTCTTTTTCCCCCTTCAACTGCTTCCCCCCAAAGAAAAGGATTAAAAAAAAAAAAAAGCGAGAACAAAAGCGCCACGGCGGCCTTCTTAACAAGCTCCCCCTCCCGTAACTAAGTTCGCTCAAGAAGGAACCCCACCAGTTTCAAAGGAACTGGCTTCCGAGCGGGTCTCCCGCGGAAGGGACGGGTTCAGGGCGTCGCCCCCATTGGATCTGTTTTCGGGGGTGAAAAAAGGAGAGCCAAGCCAATTCACAGGAACGGACCGCTTAATTTTTTTTCTCGTGGCGCTTGACTCGCTCTTTTAAGGCGAGGGGAAAGAAGCCGGGCTCAGCATTAAGGCGAGAAGGGGAGTTGGGACGGCCTCCTCGGGGGAAGGGTTGGCCAAGAAACCGCAAGAATCAAGGGAGCAGCTCCGTTGCAAAGGCAACGAGCTGCTAGCTAGAGCATCAACCCCAGGAGTCCGGTTCAAGGGGGGGGGAGTAAGAGGGGCGGTGCGAGGGGGGCTTTCGGGTCTAGCGGTTGCTGCAGCGCCCCTACTTTAAAAGACCTCTGAAGGAAGCGATTCTTCGCAGCGCCTTGTCCCCCAGTTGCTGTCACGTGTGGATGCGTGGCGCTGAGTGCATCTTTCTTGCCTCAGGTTAGCCACACTGCACAGTTGAGGCACACTGAGTGGCTTCAAAGCAGAGCCTGTTCCCCATTTAGGGTGGCTGGGACTACAACCCCCACCCAACCCCGTTTTCAATAAGGCAACCCATCCGGAGAGGGCAGCAGGTCAAAGGCAGAGGGCAAAAGCCCTGGATTGTCGGCCTGGGCTCCCCAGACAGGCCCGCTTTCATCTCGGCAACAGCAAGTAGCACAGGGCGGAGAGAGTGCAAAGCGGGTGCCCCCTAGCGGTGGGGCAGGGAACTCCCTTTAGCCCCAGGCAGTCCAAGGCAAGGAATTGTGGGAGTTGTGGTCCAAAGCAGCTGGAGGGCCCCAGTCTTCTATTGGGTTCGGAAAAGGAGAGGGAGCCAGGGGAGGGGGGGGGGAGAGAAACCCTCGCTGTCTCCCTATCCACGTCAGGTTCTCCGGCCCAGGGAAAGGGTTTGGTAGGGAAGGCACAGCTGGACAGATGTGTGTGGGGGGGAGGGCATTGTCCAACGACAACAGCAAAAGTGGCCCCCCGGAATTTGCCTTCTTCCCAGCAGAATTGGGGCAGCGCAGTCATGAATATCGGCCTTGGGGTGGGGAAGGAGCCCGGGCGTAGAAACAGGCAAGAACCGAGCGAAAGAAGAGCCGGTTAAGGCGATTCAGCCTTCCTCTATCGGAGCCCTCAGGGACGCCAGCTTCCCCGGCCAGGAGGCGACGGCCCTTGCGCCTCTCCCGTCGGGAAGGCGCCAAGGCTTGGAGGCCCGGGAGAGAGAGAGAGGGAGGGAGGCGCTGGGGCTCCCAGACGGAGGAGGCGATACTTACGGGGCGAGCAGGCGAGGCGGGCGTCCCTCCACGGAGGGCTCTGCATGACCCCCGGCCAAAAGATGGGCGTCCTGCCGGGCAGCTCGGCCAAAGGCTTGGGGTACCTCCCCACGGCGGCCACGGCGGCGGCGGCGGCGCTGGGGCTGAAGTAGAGGCCCGGGGGTGGCGGCGGCGGCGGCGGCGGCGGCGGGCTGAGGCTGCTGAAGCGGGGCAGGCCCGCCAGGAGCCCGGCGGCCGGCGAGGCGGAGGACGAAGAGGAGGAGGCGGAGGCGGCGGCGAGAAGCGGCATGGACGGCCGGCTCAAGATGTCGTTGATGCCGTGCGGGGTGGCGGCCGAGTGGTGCTGCGGGGGCGAGCCCAGCGCCGACAGAGCCCCCGCGACGTGGAGCTTCAGGCCGGCGGGCGTGGGCGAACCCAGCGGAGGGGAAGGCGAGGCGGACGCCGAGGAGGAGGAAGACGACGACGACGACGAGGGAGCTGAGGAGGAGGAGGAGGAGAGGGAGGAAGGTCCGCTGGCGGCGGCTGCTGAGGCGGCGGCGGCGGGTGGCAGCTGGTAGGCGGCGGCGGCGGCGGCGGCCGAGTAGAGCGGCGTCTTCATCTCGGCCATGCTGTGCAGGGCGGCCAGCGGCGGGCTGCTGAGCAGGAAGGCGCTCGGCCGGGAGGTGCCATCCATCGGCCCCACCGCCAGCATCCCCAGGTCGGACGGCCGGGCAGGGCGCTGACGCCGACGGGCTGTTCCTCTTCTCAAGCCGCGGAGGAGCCTTCTTTGGACGGGGAGGAGAAGCGGACCCGGTGTCTCCTGCGGACCCGGTGTCTAAGGGCGAAGGGAAGAGCCCCCCAAGGGGCAGAGATGGCTGGGGACGGGGGGGGGGGCGGAAAGAGATATAGGAAAGTGGGGTTGGAGTCAATTGAGGGGATCCTGTTCTGCTATTGGGAGGGGGGAGAGGCTGAGCAGCTGGAGCAGAGAGAGGGCGACTAACTGGAGTCAAGAGGCCAGCATTGAAAGGGAAAGTGATATTCTCTGTCCAAACTTGGGGGGAAGAAAGAGAGAGAGGGAGGGGAGAGAGAGAGAGAGAGAGAGAGAGAGAGCAGCTTCTCCCTTTCTGAACTGAAGCAAAGGCGTCGTCGGAAGATAAAAGGCCTTTCTGGAGCGAGGAGTTCAAGGAACGTGGGAAGAGCGACGCTGGGAGCACTTCGGGAAGGCTCCGCTCAGGGATGCCCTGAAAGCGTCCCTTGATTCGGAAGAAGCGAGGATCGGGGCTGGGAGGGGCTGGCTTGGATCGGACGGGGAGCTGTCCGGACAGCCGAGCTCAGGGGCTCCCTTCGAAGAAGGGGATCCCTTCTGGTGATCCCGGGGAAGAGGCACCGTTCCCGGATAATCTCCCCCCCCCCCAAAAATAATAAATCGGGGGGAAAAACTCCAAACTTTAACCAGAGCCCTCATAGAAGGCGGGCAGCGGAGGAGCGGGAAACTTTCGTGGAGGGATCGGAGCTTCCAGCCGTCTCTGGGAGGAGCTGCCGGCGGCGACGGGCGGAGAGCGAAGAGCTGCCGGCGGGATTAAGCGATGGTGGGAAGAGCGAAGTCCGTCCTGTGGCTTCCTTCTCTCCGGCTTGTCTCTGGCTCCTTTCCGGCCGAAGGGCGGCTGTTCCCTGGCCAGCCGCTCGGTGAGGGGAGCAAACGGACACCAGGGCCAGCCTCCCGGGGAAGGAAAATGGCATTCACTGGGCGCGGGAAGAGTGAGGCGCGCCGGCGGGTGTAGCGCGGAAATCAGCCCCGTCGAAGGCGCCGAGCCACGGCCGGCGGCCGGACGAAGGAGGCGCCGCTCGGCCCTGGTTCCCTTCTCCGCGGCTGGAGAGAGCCTGGTCGGGCGCTGGGAGATCCTCCTGCGCTCCCTCCGGAGGCGATCGCCTGATCCCAAGGGAGAAAGCGCCACCGCCGCCTCTTCCTTCAGCCCGGCCTCAGGCTTTGTGGGTTGCCTGCAGAGAAAATCCTCCCGATCTTCGGACATGTAGAGGAATTTCTGCCTTTTTTTCCTTCTTCTTCCCCCCCCCCCTTCCTAAACGCAGGCCAGGAGGGCTGGGCGCTCCCTCTGCGGCTGGTCGAGGGGAGATCCCGGTTTTCCTTTCCCGGCTTGGCTCGTCGCTTTTCCCGCGCTCTCTCTCTCCTTTTTTTTTTTTTTTTTGAGTGGCGCTGCTCACCTTTTCCGCCCGTTTCCTTTGCGGCCGGCCAGGCTCGACTTTGCCTCCGCGGCGCGCTCTTTTCGCGGCTCGCCTCCCTCTGACAGATCCCAAACAACCACTCAGAGGTAATAAAACATTTTCAATCGCCCCCCCCCCCCACACCTCCCGTCTCCTTTGGCTATTGGGGGGGAGGGGTGGACGGCGGGGGGAGGGAGTGGGAGAGAGAGAGAGAGGGAGAGAGAGAGAGAACTTTGGAGAGGTGTCAATAAACAGCAGTGGGTGGGACGGAGCCGGGCCCCAGCCTCCTATTGGCCCTGCCTTTTCGGTGGGGAGAAACGTGGACCGAGAAGAAAGAGAAGGCGACGCGGAAGCCGAGCCGGCACCTCCGCCTGCCCCTCCCTTAGAGCGAAGGGGCGGGACCGGCCAAGGCCCCTCATTTGCATACGGAGCGCGCCAAGCGGCTGAAACTGCAAAGGAGACTCGGAGCTGGAGGGAGGGAGGGGGGAAAGAGGGAGCTCCGAAGGGGACGGCCCAGAAATCGAAGGATTTGCCCTGAAAACCGAAAGTCGCTCGTAAAAGGTTGTCTTCCCTCCCCCCCCTTTAATGTTTCTTTTTTCCTTCCCTTTCAGCCAATCAGATCCCAAAGTCGCCAGCAGGTTAAAGGATTAATCTCTCCCGCGGTCTCGGGTTCCAGGTCCCATCATCCCCAACCCACCCACTCTTTGCGGCCCTTGGAGACAGCGGTGGGGCGAAGGCTTCCGCTGAACGTCCTTCAGAGGCGCTCGGGAAAAGGGAAGCGAGGGACGCGCTGCTGTTTCTAAACTTAAGAGACGCCCGGCGCTCCCTTCCTACCGCCCCTTGCCCGCGCCTGGGCTCCCCTGCGCACCGGCCAGGGGGGAAGCTCTTCCTCCCACCGCCACGCCTCCTGCCCGGACTTTTCCCCCTTTCCCCTCCTCCCGGTCTCCTCTCGGCCGTTTCGCCCTTGCTCTGTTCAAGCCGCCGGGGTGTGTTACGTCTTTCGGTCCCAACAAGGAGGCTTTGCGCTCCACATTGAGCCTAGCCAGTCCCGGGCATCCGCCTGCCAGCGTTTGGGGGGCTGTTGCAAAGCAGAGATTTTATTAAGCTTTTGCTCTGATTAAGCAAAGCCTTGCCCGCACCATCCATCTCTCTCTCTTCCTCTCCTCTCTCTCTCTCTCTCTCTCTCTCTCTCTCTTCCTCTCCCCTCCTCTCTCTTTTCCTCTCCTCTCTCCTCTCTCTCTTTTCCTCTCCTCTCCCTCTCTCTTCTTCTCCTCTCCCCCCTCCTCTCTCTTTTCCTCTCCTCTCTCCTTCTCTCCTCCCTTTCTCTCTCTCTCTCTTCCTCTCCTTTCTCCCTCTCCCTCTCTTCCTCTCCTCTCCTCTCTCCCTCTCTCTCTCTTCCTCTCCTCTCCTCTTTCTTCTCTCCTCCCCTCTCTCTTTTCCTCTCCTCTCCTCTCTCCTCTCTCGCTCTCCCCCTTCTCCTCTCCCCATTCCCGCGACCTCCGATTCCCTTCGAAAGACAGACTTGGGAGACTCGAAACAGCCCCAACGAAGTTTGCTTTTCAGAGCGAAACGCCAAGGCGGCTCGAGAGAGAAAGAGAAACCTCGCTCCTAAAGGGGGAACATTCCGGGTTAGCTGGCCACCGGCATCTTTCCCGAAACGGGTTTCGCCGCCCGCTTCTAGAATCCGCAGACTGAAGATGTCCCCAAGGGAGGGCAGGGCTCGGGCTGCATAACAGAACAGGCGAAGAGAGAGGCTCGGCTCTGAAGTCAATAGCTCGAAGCCCTCCCCTCCCCCCAGCCTCCTGCCCCGGGGCCGAACGAGCGGCGGCTCTGGGTAATCAGCGGTCTACAAATGCAAGCAGGCTCCGGAGGCTTTGCAAGCGCTGAGGCTGAGAAGAACGGGACACCGAGCACTCCGAGAGACTGGCCGCTCTTACAATTCGTTGCTGGATTTGCATGAGCTTTATCGTGATCGTTGTTAGGGAAAGCAAATCGCCTCTATCAAAAAGCGTTAGAGACAATAGAGCATTGATAGCATTTTGACCTTTCTCTTTTTATTTCCAATTCTTTAAAGCTTCTTTAACAATAGAACGTTAATCTCCTTTTAATCACCTCATCTAGACATCACAGCAATGTACTGAAACTTGCATTAAATTAATACAATGTACCAGAAAAAGAAAAAGAAAAAAGAACAAGTCTAATGGGGTCGGGGGTGCCATTTCAGAGGTGCGTCCTCGAGGCTGTTTTGTACTACAGACTTTGGGAGGGAGGGAGGAAGATAGTTTTGTTCCCTAGAACAAAACTAGAATTGAGCTAGAAACTCAATTAAATAAATTAATAAACCTGCCTCTTGATTCAGGGAAGATGCTTCTTTTCTTTCTTTCTCTTTCTCTCTGCAACAATTCCGGCCAAAGACAAAGTGATTTCCAAATGTGTTGTTTGAACTGTGGTTGGTTGGGTTGGTGTGATGACAGACATGGTTAACTGAACCATGAAATTGCTCAATTAAACCATTATTCTGCTCCTGGTTGTAACTCGGAACCCTAAATACTGGGACTGGATTCGTGCAACACTTTGGATAGAAATGTGGCATAGTCTCCAATCAAGCCTTCCAGGCCCTTTAGACATTATTAGGTTTAATAAATTGGGGTCATCCCTTGGAGACGGTGCTTTCCCAACAGACTCATTGGAGCTGGGCCTTGGTTTCCCTTGGACCGTGGTGGAAGGAATAATGCCCTGTAGAGAGAAGCGGAGAAAATATAACATAAGCAGTCCCATTTGTATGTGGCCCAGGAGAGTAAAGTCACCCACAAAATAACTGGTTAAATACACTAAAAAGAAAAAGTATTCTTTTAAAATATCTGTCTCAAGCCCTTTTCCTAAGCTGGTCAGGTAAATTTATTTACCCCAATTTCATTCATCTGACTTTTCTGTTAAAGTTTTGGGCTCTCTGTCTCCTCCCCAACTGGGGTCCTACTACGACTCGATCATCTAAACTCAATCATCTCTGGGTCTCAATAGACTACAACTCCCAAAGTCTACACTGGCTAAGAGTTCTGGACATTGTAATTCCAGGCAGTAGATCTGGACAGCACCTGGATTAAACTGAGGAAAACCCGGAAATATAAATCATACTGTGCTTGTTTGTGGCTTACCATAGTTTGGTATTTAGTAAATCTTGGTGGTTAAACAAACTGTGCTTGTTTATTGTGTTGAATGAGCAAAGTCACGGTAACTCCTAAGTCTTATCCAAAAATCTTTTTTCCGGGGCTCGACAGATTGTCGCCTTCCACTGCATGCCCGTAACAAAGCAATGGGAAGAACCCAGTCATTGTCTTCATACATTTGGAGTTAAATGCATTGTGTGAATCCAGCCAACCACCTTTTAGCCTGGCACGTTGGGTGGAATCAGCCCATCTGCTTATTGAAGAAGTCCGTCCTGCAGCGCAAATCTAGTAAATACAGTTCAAGGAACCAGGCCGGGTTAAGTTAACGGTGGGAAAATTTCGTCCTGAGATCGCAATCTAAAACTCCCCTAAATTGGCATTTGTTGCTTGGCATTGCAAGGTAAGCAGAAATAATTTAGAGAGGAGCATTCTTTTTACTGCTGCGCCCCACGCCACAAGGCAAAGAAACCTGTGGAATATCTGCCTTTAAAAAAAAAAAGTCCAGCAGAATTAAGTTAGACAATTTATCCACACGGTAGTGGATGCGAAGATCGGGTGGTGCACGGACGCGGCTGTCTCCGCGGCGTTTCGACGCTTTCTCCGATCTAGCCAGGAATCGAGGAAGCGCTCTGAGGCTTCTGGATCTCTTGGGCCGGCGCAAAGCAGCCAGCGGGTTGCTAACCTGCGGGACCGCGAACCTCTTCCTACATGCCTCTTCCCGGGAGGAAATGGCGCAGGAGCGCGCAGGAACAAAAATTAGGATTTTGATCCCTAGGCAGCTTCTAACACTTTTCTGCTAGGCTCCTGGATTCCCTTCGCATCCGCTCTCTACTTCGATCCCAAGGCGCTTTCATCGCAACCTTTTATTCAAACACCCCCAGCAGAGGCGGGGGGAACGGTCTGGATTCCGAGAGAGGGCGCAGCAATTTTCTCTAGAGCTTGGGGGGTTGCGCACTCGGGCACTTTTACCTTATTAGAAGCAGTTTAGGGCCACAGAATAGGGCTAGGACTGCTGTACAACGCCCCTCCCCCTATTTTCCTTCCTTCCTTTTCTTCCTCCCTCCCTCCCTCCCTTCCTTCTCTTTCTTTCTTTCTTTCTTTCTTTTTCTTTCTTCTCTTCCTTCCCTCCCTCCTTCCTTTTCCTTTTCCTTTCCTTATCTTTCCTTCCCCTTCCTTCCTTCCTTTTCTTTCTTTCTTTCTTTCTTTCTTTCTTTCTTTCTTTCTTTCTTTCTTCTCTTCCTTCCCTCCCTCCCTCCTTCCCGCCTTCCTTTTCCTTTCTTTCCTTATCTTTCCTTCCCCTTCCTTCCTTCCTTTTCTTTCTTTCTTTCTTTTTCTTTCTTCTCTTCCTTCCCTCCCTCCTTCTCGCCTTCCTTTTCCTTTTCCTTTCCTTATCTTTCCTTCCCCTTCCTTCCTTTTCTTTCTTTCTTTCTTTCTTTCTTTCTTCTCTTCCTTCCTTCCTTCCTTCCCTCCCTCCTTCCTTTTCCTTTCCTTATCTTTCCTTCCCCTTCTTTCTTTCTTTCTTTCTTTCTTTCTTTCTTTCTTTCTTTCTTTCTTTCTTTCTTCTCTTTCTTCTCTTCCTTCCCTCCCTCCTTCCCTCCTTCCTTTTCTTTTCCTTTCCTTTCCTTATCTTTCCTTCCCCTTCCTTCCTTCCTTCCCTTTTTCTCCGTTTTCGGAACCTTGCTTTGAATTTTTTCTGAAAACTGACTCAATAGAACATCCTCTCCCCCCCCCCCGTCCCCGCGGATAAACCCCACTCTGATTCCAACCTTCGACCCCCTCAAGTTATATTGGACTACAAGTGCCCCCCCCGCCCCGACTCTGTCTCGGATGGTGGGCGTTATGCAAGCGAAGAGACACCTAGAGGCCAGGAGACTGTGATTCTCCTTATTATTTGCAGTGGCTCTTTCCTGATTATTAAATACCGC